TATATATGTATATATATATATATACATATATAGGTTGCCAGCTTTAACCTTTGTCAAATATTATTCGTACAATAACTCCGTTGCTTGCTAACTATACCTATTATATTTAATATCTAATATGGTATGGCCAGTTCCAACAGCCAATAAATTAAGACATACGGAAATCAAATTATGAGAAAAAAATGTGGTCATTAGTAATAGGCAACTATAACTTTGTGCTGTTAGTATTCAAAATATTAATGTTCCTGGCGTATGAATCTAAATTAAAATATAATTGGTTTAAATGAACTATTCTAGTCCAAAAAGGTATAAAATTATCAAAATATTGTATTATTTTGTCAAAAAAACGCTCACTTATAATTTAGTCGTATACTAACGTTATAAATTTAGTATTAAAATAATGTCACTAACTAATTCCTAAACAGCAGACATATAATATGAATATAAAATAAATAGTATTATTTAAAAATTCTTTTTTCTTGTAATAATCATGTGGTGCACTTGTAAATTCATTAAAATACAATTAGCCTAGAGTAAGTTTGAGTCAGCCAATTAGTTGATCGATATTATATTCTTCCGGATATGGAAGATTGGATCAGCTTATTGACTTTAGATAGTCAAACCTCTTCTCAAATTGTTTCTGAAGATTTTTTAAAAAGAATAGCTGAAGATTTAAAAGAAGCTATTCCTATATCTAAAGATAACTTTGAAACTCTTACGAAGGCCCTTTCAGACAAATTTACATGTTTCGTGTTTGACAATGTTCCCGCTGATTTTTATCGAGTTCTGCGTTGCCTTTGTGATCACTTAATAAGACGTGCTGATGTCGCTCCCATCGATATTAGCAATTTTTTCTTGGGTTTTGTCGAAGTATGTCTTATTCAATAAATCGCCTATTTCAATTTAGGTTTTTCTAAAAGTGTCACCCGACTGTAAGTAAAATTGCGATCTTACGCTTCTTTAGGTCTAGTTCCTACATATGAATGTATTTTGGATGTGATTCATCAGAAAATCATTGACATTAACTTCAGTGTCTATATAAAACATGCGGTAAAATTTATCCTTTATACTTATTTTTAGATTTTAAGCTCACTCAATGAAATAACGGTAATTTCGTCCACCAAAAAGGTTGAGCTGTTTCTTAAGCCGAAAGTATTTGCAGCCTAGTAAGTAATTCGAATGTGTTATGAAAGTATACTTTATATATGCTTAAAATTCGTGGTTTTATCCTCTCATTTAAGCGCCAATACTTCGCAAAGTATAAATATTCAATTAACGTTGAGCACATTATCGAAATATTTTATCAATAAACCTATTTCTTTTTAATGACCATTTATGAAATTATTTTTGATTATTTTTATGTTATTTCATATCCATAATCTCAAAAGTCCTCTTTTTGCCATGAGATGTCTGACTACTATGTTCATTTGAACATGCCCTAGATAGCTTTTTATTATAAGTAATTAAAAGGCAATATCCCCTTATTGGGGTACTTGCAAATTGCAGGTTTTGTGTAATCTAATGAACTAATGGGTATTGTAGCTCTTCTGTTATTGAGTACTGTGAAGCTTGTTTGTGACTATATTTATTAAGTCTAAATAAGTAGAAAATGATCAAAAATGGCTGGAGCTGAAACATCCATCAATATCGCAATTAGATTTATTAGAAATTAAGGTGAAATACCAGACTTTGCGAAGTAAAGAAAAGCGTTATCATTAAACTTTTGCGTCCTCTCCCATTTTGTTAATCTCTTGAGCGTTTTAAACTATCTTGCTTCATACCAAGCTGTTCTTTGCCAGAACTGAATACAAGTTCCCCATGAAAGAAGGTTCGCACTTACTCTATTCCCTTAATATTTCTTTTCCGGGAGCACTTTCACTTCATCTTGAAAGTCTAACTACTGAAAGTTAATTCTAATCTTCTTAGCTGGATAATAGTTAATTGGGTTGGGAAGTATAATTACTATTATTATAGGAGTGTAGCGGATTGCTACCTTAGTAAAGCCTTGACCTAAGTCTCAGTAACCTCTATGATAGTTTCCCCTATTTACCGAGTCTTCCAGAAGAAAGAGCCGTATCACTCAAACATTTATTTACTCGATAAGTATAGCGAATTGTGTTCAAAAGAACAAACGCAGGCTTTCTATTGGTCATTGGCTGTGCTTCGCCGCAACCAATCCGTGTGCGAGGTTGCACCGCCGCCCCTTAAGCCTAGTGTGCTCGCCTGCGATGGAGTGTCCCATGGGAGCGTTAATGACTTTCACATAGTGAACCGTGATATATGAGGTTATTCACTTGCTTTCATAATAATTGTCCAAATATTAACGCTATTTGCACACCTGCAAAACTTGGGTAAGTAATCGATAACCACTTTTTGGCGTGTACGTGCACCAACAAACCCTGGGGTGGGTGGGCGGTTGGCAGATGTAATAATCGATATTTGACACTGTGGGTCAGCCCCCCAAGGTGAAGTGTTCTGATCACTTCCATTTTACTGGAAATATTCCCTAAACTACTTACTTCAATGGGATCTGCGAGAGGCTGCAGTGTAGAATAACTTTCGATGCGGGTGATTTCTAACCATGTATTGTTTGATTTTTGTAGCCACGATTGGTGCTGATGAGATAATGCGATCTGCATCTCTTTTTTGCCATTCTTAATAGTTTAAAAATTGGCTGAGTAGGAGGATTGATCATACGGTTTCCTCAGCGGTTTTATGATAATTTAACTGGATTTGATTGTCTCCCCCATGGCTTTTTCCCATATTTTTTATAATTCATCATATCTTTGCTTTCTTTAGTGTATGCTTATACGTTAATCTAATTTTCCTTTGCCAATGTCCATCTTTTCTTCATCAGTTTGATCACTAGTGCTGAAAAATGATTCTTTAAACAATAAAATTGGACGTTATTTCCAATGCAAGCTCAAGAGTTTTTGTAAATGAGACATTTAGAGCTTCTTTGTTTACCTAAGAAAATGTTATTAATCTATTATTTAGTGATTCGAAAACAAATCTTGATTTATTTATTACAGTACCTTGCTGGCATCTAACTTGCGAGCTATCGGAGATTACGATACACAAACTCAACTACTAGAATTTCTACTTCATGTCATTCCTTCGGCAAGAAGGCGATATTTTGTTGAAAGATTCATCCATCCAGATTTCGCAGATCTGTTCTGCGCTATAATTGGGCAAAACTTTACAACCGTAAGTGAAATCCGTATTTCTCTAATGGTATTAAAGGATGTGCCACATCGTTATATCTCCAAAATTTGTTGAAAAAATGCTTTACAGAGTCCTTGGTCACTTAAGTTGTTATTTAAATAATTAATATCATTATGATGAGACTCAGTCTCATGATTTCTGTTGAAATTTGTGTGTACTTCTCCATTACGCATTGGAGGCCCGTAACTATTACGTGATTTTGGTTCATTCATGTCTTTAATGAGGTATCTTAAACTGGGTATATTTTTATGAAGAATCCTAGACAGATTAATATGTAACTCGCTCAATAAGTGCTACATTTATTAAAAAGGTTTTGCACAGATTAAGACAAATAAACAGGCCAAGTTGTTCATCTTCACTAGGCACCACACTATCAAAAGATTAACAAGAAAAGGGTTGTTCTTACACTTTCAAATTCTTCAATATTTTGGTAATATATTTATCTACTTTACGTTACTATTGACTACAGACTATTATTAACAAGATTATTCGCAAATGTTTTTGGGACATGTATATTATCTGTTGTTTTTAAGGCTGCTCGAAAATTTCTCAATCTGCTCAATTCAATGAATCCATCAACGCAGTCCGTTTTCTCCCTTCCTTGCATCGGAATTCAAATTTGTGGCCATGAGGTAAGATTTTGCTTTCTTTGGAAAACTGCAGCATGTTAGATCTTATCATGTTATTAGCTGTTATCCAAGAATGTATTGTTATATAGTATATAGTACTATTTCATAAATGCTAACTTATTTTTCCTCAGAATTACGATCAAATCCGAATTTGTGACATTTAAATAATCTTTTCGAAGATTTTCGAAAATTCAGATAGCATAAGGGGGAGAATCCGTTGAAATTTATTCTACATTTACACTAAAATATTTGCTAGCCATAACTATTTCTGATTTCATTGTTAGAATATAATAAACTTTAAAGAGAGCTTATCAATTTCTTAAGTTATCATCGAAAGGAAACAGCTTTACAAATATTACTTGACTTCCTTTTTATTATTTGTTTTCTGATAACTCGTTATAATTATCGATATGAGCTAAGTATATTCAATCTTTTGCAATTTTCGAAGTGGCATTTTCCTACGTTCAGCCTTTGTAGTCCCTTTAAAAGGTATGAGAAAAGTAATCCCAAGTGTACATTTTTAATCACCTCAAATTAAAAACTAACTTCATGAATATTTCGGCCAATGTCGTGATAATTAAGTCTACAACGTTTCTTTATATTATTAACTAACATGTCATATATTATTCCTTTTATCTCCATTCCAGCTGAAGTGTCCATCCGCAATTACTTCTCGATCAGACGGTGATCACTTTTGGATTGATTTCAACCTGGTACCTCAGCGTATCACAGCAAACTGCGTCCTTGCTGGGCAAGCCGCTCAGACTAGTTATACTGTAGGTTTCCGTACTGTAGTATTCGGAAGTATTTGATAAATATGATTGTTTCTAAATATACTCTTCTCCACACCTGCAGAGTGATGATGGAAATGAACAAATTTGGGAAACTATCTCCCTCCATCCCGAAATAATTAATGAGGTTAACGTAAGCTGTAAGTTTGTTAGTGAACGCTTGAAACAATCGTTTTGTATGGTTTTGTACCATTTCTGTTTCAAAATCAATTAATTCTCTAGCAATACTTACAAATGTTTTGAATTCCAATGATTTAATCCTTTTTCATTTCCAGACTGTTTTTAATTTTATGTAAATTTGAAATCGTTTATTTACAGTGAACAAGCCTTTAAGTGTCAGTAATTTCCATCTGATGGACTCATTGTCCCGCAGAAATCTCATTGTGTCAAGAATTAGGATGTGTGAAATGAGTTCTAGTGATTGAGGTAAAAATTTGTTTTAGTATCAATAATTTCGTTCTCGCTTTGCAGCTATTTTTACAAAAGACAAAAGAGGCACTCAAGTAGAACAAATCAATCTCAGTATCACTACCTTTGAGTCACCAAGTGATTACGTTCGATTTTGGGATGGTGATTCTTCGCCTCATCGCATACCTGAAGAAGATTTTGTCACAATTGAATTTTGTCTTGGCCCCAGTGATGTGGTCAGGAATGCACCGACTAAAGCTCCTGGAACTCCGATCGCTCAAGGCATCACAGAAGCAAGCCAATCACAAGACCAACAATTAATTAGTCTTTTGACTGGTCTTCGGGTTTATGCTGAGGTGAGTTTGGCATTATTAAAAGTACAGTACTACTATTTTGTTGTTTTTTACTGATGCCCTGTCCCATTTCGAATCATCGTAATTTTCACGTATTTATATCAAATGGTAGGTTTTACGATGGTTATCGTTAGCCCTTTAGTTGACTTCGGGCTTCATAGAGAGGAGAAATATCAGTCACAAAAGGTCGATGGGGACTGTGAAGTTATTCACAGATGTAAAAGAGGCGGCAGGCACAAGGTAGAGAAAAAGGAAAGTTGAGCGCTGTGGAAGTGGTCGAATATGACATAGAGTCAGGTCATGGTAGTTTGAAGTCAGAAGTTTATTTATATTTATTTCAAATGGCAGGCGTTATGATAGCTATCATTAGCCATTTAGCTGACTTCGG